TCTTACTCGTGCTGAAGTGGTAACCTTACCTTCTTTATTCCCGACGATGGCCAAGGCTATTGACCCCATGATCGCCCCACAGACAAATCCGAACCAATTGATGCTCTGTTCGCTGAATGTGTCTGAGTTCTTAGAGGAGTTATAAACTGAATGGTTGGAGAAAGACCCTAGGCACTCCTGGGCGATGTTGAACCAAGGTCCAAAGGGTGAACATTTCGTGGTAAAAGTCAATGTAGGTGGCCGAAAGGTTGGTACCTTCGCAGACATAGGTTGTACACGAAACTTCATCAGTCGTGCTTGTGTGGATAGGTTGGGCTTAGGGGACCAAGTGCAGCGGCTTAGTAGATCTATAGCATCTACCTTAGCCAACAAGCACTCCATGGTAGTAAGAGACTACGTCAAGGATGTAGTCTGCACCTTCTCCTATGGAGGAGGGGAACTGAGATACAAGATCTCATTCCTAGTTAGAGACGAGATGCCATTCAACATGTTGCAAGGCATGTGCCACCTCAAGGTTGCTACGCCTCAATTCGATTGGGATAGGAAGGTGATGATCCACAAGTTGCCAAATGGAAGGACCGTTAGGCTGCAAAAGTTTAAGGTTAGCAGACTAGTGGAGAACTATGGTTGCATGTGCGCGTCGTCTTTCTATAACTACTACAAGCAAAATCGAGAGGAAGGTATGTACTTAGTCTTTGATCTCTGAGAAAGGGGAGGCCATAAAATCACCCCCGGAGATGGAAGCAGTCATTGCGCGATATTCAAACCTCTTTGAGGAGCCTAGGGGTGTGGTAGAAAGGGAGATTGTCCATGCGATAGAAGTTGTCCCCGGTGGCAAAGTACCTAGAGGGCGGATCTATAGGATGCCTCATGTGGAGTTAGATGAGCTTCGCCGCCAGCTCAAGGAGCTCACAGAGAAGGGCTAGATTCGGCCAAGTATGTCCCCCTACGGAGCGCCGGTTTTATTTGTCCCAAAAAAAGGGGGAACACAAAGGATGTGCATTGACTATAGGGGCCTCAATGCCATCACCGTTAAGAACGTGGAGCCCCTACCATGAATTGACGACCTCTTGGATAGAGTGCGATGATATCGGTACTTACAGTAAGATAGATTTGAAGTCCGGTTACCATCAGATTGTTATTAGACCTGAGGACCAACACAAAACCGCCTTTCAGACCAGGTATGGTCTATACGAGTTATCGGTGATGCCCTTTGGCCTATGAATGCTCCTGGGACCTTCCAACAAGCAATGAACCGGATCTTTCATGACTACTTAGACAAGTTTATCGTCGTGTACCTCAACGATATCCTTATCTTTAGTAGGATTGTAGAGGAGCACGCTGAGCATATGAAAACAATGCTAGGGCTCCTAAGACAGCACCAATACAAGGTTAACTTGGAGAAATGCGAATTTGGTAGCACGGAGATCTTGTATCTCGGTCATAAGATTTTCGTGGATGGTTTGAGGCCCGATGACGCTAAGGTGGCCAGCATACGTGACTGGCCGAGACCTCAGTCTATGACTGAGGTGAGGTCGTTCTTTGGGATGACAGGCTACTACCGCCTATTTGCAAAAAAATACAGCAAGGTAGCCTCCCCTCTAACTGACCTCACGCGCCTTGACACCCCATGGGAGTAGACCAAAGAATGTGAGGCATCCTTCAAGAAATTGAAGTATGCCCTGAGACACTATGAAGTCCTCAAACTTCCAGATCCTAAACAACCCTTTGTCGTGACCACATGCGACAGCCAATACGACACAGGCGCCGTCCTCGCACAGAAGGAGGGGAAGAAGTTGAGGTCGATCGAGTACATGAGCAAAAAGATGCCATCTCATAAATTAGCTAAGTCCACGTATGAGTTTGAGCTCTATGCCCTCTATAGAGCGCTGGTCCATTGGTGGCACTACCTCCTCGACAGATTCTTTTATGTGAGATTATTATGAGACATTGCGCTGAATTAAGACACAACCCCTGCTCTCCCACGCACTCAAGAGGTGGATTGAAGTCATAGACATGTATGACTTCAAGCTCAACCCTCTAAAGGGAGAGTACAACAAAGTGGCTGATGCACTATCGCATAGGGCAGACTATTTGGGCACGCTAGTGACTGAGTTTGTAATTTCTAACGATGTAACTCGATCTATGGTGGAAGCCTATCGATCGAGAGGACGCGGTCATGTCTAAGATCATTCACAAACTGGAAGCTAAAGACAAGGCTACTTCCGATGAGTTTATGCTAGTTGACAACTTCCTGTTCCTTGAGAAGGCTGGGAATAAACGATTGTGCGTTATGCATAGAGAGTCCTCGCATAGTCTATTTTTAGGTGAGTGTCACGATGCAACCTGACATTTTGGGTACAAAAAGACAGCAGCAAATTTAATGCAAAAATTTTGGTGGCCCACAATGATGGATGATGCGAAAACGTATGTGGAGACTTGCGAGTTTTGTCCACGTGACAAACCAAGGACGCAGGCACCGCTTGGCCTTATCAAGCCCTTGCCTATCCCTGCTGGACCTGGTTAGAGTGTGTCCATGGACTTCATGGATACTCTTGTGACCAGCAAGAGTGGTAAGAGACACATCTTCGTCATTGTGGACAGGTTCAGTAAGTACGTTGACTTGTTGCTATGCCTGAGACCGCTAGGACTGACCACGCCATCAAGCTATTCATGGACAACTAGGTGCGTGACTTCGGTCTCCCTAAGTCTATTATGAGCGACAGAGATGTGAGACTCACAGGCGAACTCTCGCGAAATACAGCCCAACAGATGGGCACCCGACTGCAAATGACATTAGGGAAACACCCTGAGCCAAATGGGTAGGCCGAACAGATGAACCGTGTAGTGCAGCACTTGCTTCGGCGTTATATTAAGCCAAGTCAAGATGATTGGGATGAGAAGTTACCTGTCATCGCCAGTCTATACAACAATGTTATGCAAATCACTACTTGTAAGACCCCCCGCCACCTGCATCTTGGTTGGAAGCCCAAATCTGCTCTTGACTTTCTGTTACCTGAAAATCAGCCAACTGCAGCACCTGGTAGCTTAAAGTTTGCTGTAAAGTACGAACAGATGCTGCAGAAGGCTGTAGAGCATATTAAGAAAGTACAAGATGCCATCATGACATCTGAGAACAAACACAGACGACCGTCTGCATTTCAGGTAGGTGAATGAGTCTGGGTAAAATCATCTGAGTTGGGCTAGGAGTTGGGAATTTCATGCAGACTGATGCCACAATACTTTGATGGGAAACTATCACGCGCGGTTCGGAGGGCGGGAAAACACAACTCCCGACCCCTATCTATGATAAGTATTGGAGTTCTTGGATTTATTGTGTGGGCTCAAGATGGGTCCCTCTCATGGCAACATGAGAGTTCAATCACTTCGCTATATGCTGGAAACGCCTTAGAGCTGGAAGTTCCAAATTCATTGGTCAATCAGCAGGCTCGTCGGGCCTTGGGAGATTCTGGACATAGTAGGAGATCAACCCGACGACCCATCATTTGTGATTCACATTCCTGGTCACCTCCGTACACACCCTGTTTTCCATGCATCCAAGTTGGCACCCTTCACTGAAATTGAGCAGTTTCCCTCCAGAAGATCTATGCTGGCCCCAACCATGAACGAACATGTAGACATTGACGACATCGTCGAGCACAAGTTCATTTGTAAAGAAGATAACGACGAAGAGAGAGAGAGAGAGAGAGAGAGAGAGAGAGAGAGAGAGAGAGAGAGAGAGAGGAGCGATACAAGATTGGTTGTGTGGTCGAAGGAAGGAGAAGGCGGCCATGGCCGCGGAGCTTGAACACGAAGAAAGGAGGCAAGAAGAGGAATGAGAGAGAAGGAGGGAGAGGCGAAAGAGAAGAGAGAAGCCATAGTTGAGGAAGAGGAAGGAGCGACAAAGAAGAAGAGGGAAGACATAGCCAAGGTGAAGAAAGAGCAAGGCGAGGTAGGAGAAAGAAAGGAGGAAGAAGAAGAAGGGTGGTGAGGAAGAAGTTGGCAGCCATAGCCGAGTTGGAGTTTGACCAAGGTGTTGACCATGAGGTTGACCGAAGTTGATTTGAGCATTGACTTGGGCGTTGACCCGGGCGTTGACCAAGGTTGACTGGAGCGTTGACCGAGGATTTGACCAGCATTGACCAAGGCTGTTGACTGCGACTTTGACCAAAGCTGGAGTTTGTATATTCTCGCCAAGCCCTTAGCCTATCCCCTCGCCCTATGGATGTGCACTCACCCTATGGTACTTGCTGAGTCTGTCTGTCTCTTCTTTCTGCATTGAGTCTCTTCTGTCCAGGTGTTAGGAACTCTGTGTATGAAGGATAGGGCCTTGTTGACCAAACCCACACGGGCTGAGTAGGGCTAAAGGTTGTGTCCGACGACTCGACTGTTCCGGAGGACACGAACCCTCTCAAGGACCGGTACTGACCGGCGGGCTGCTCTGTGTGGCATGGTAGGCCCAAAATCCGAGTTGTGGGCTGCACAACAGGCTGTCTAAGTCTTGAGAGGACTTGCTGATCGCGTTGTCCTGTCTGCAACGTTAAATAATTCCTGAGGAGTTACGGGGGATCTCCTTAAATGCCTTCTGATCAGCAACAAGTCCTGTAGTGACAGCCATAGTTTAGGTCCAGGCTAGATACCCTAGTTGACAGGAGCCTACTTGGGTTTTGTGGTCCTTTAGATTGAGTCTAAGTCTAGTCAGTCAGGTGCCGAGGTCTAAGTGGTGAGGTTTGGAACCGATATCCGGTTGTGCACTTATCACACCATGGTTGACACTCGCAGTGGGAAGAGCACCATGCCGTATAGTAAGGCTCAAGGGGAGCAGGCCGCCGCCATTCTGAGAGAGAGAAAGGAGAAGAAGGAGCTCCTTAGGCAGGCAAGATGAAGATGATAGCCGAGGAGCAAGCAGCGAAGAACAAGAAGTTGGAGACGGAGATGCAAAGATTGCAGCAAGAGGAGGAAGAGAGAATGGGAGCTGCAAAGGAGGAAGAGGTTGAAGAGGAGGAAGAGCAGCCAGAAGAAGAACCCCTCAGAAGGAGAAAATTGGGGGAAGGAGAAGGAAGCAGTGGCACGAAAGAAGATGACCCATGGGTAGAAAGGAGGATAAGTGAGTGGGTGGCTAATTTATCGTTGGGTGAAGATGAGGAGGCGATGTTGTATATCCCTCAACAGGAGAAGGAAGCAGCAATCAGGGAGATCGAGGCAACGAGCGATCCCCTAGAACACCAGGCCCTAGAGAATGAGAAGAGGAGGACGGAGGAATCCAACAAGATGGCAGAAAAGTGGAGAGTTTATAGACATGTAGACAGGAAGTAGAGGCCCAGCCTGATATTCAGGCTAAGCTGGACAAGATCCTTGGGAGCATCGAGCTCCTAGGCAAGGCCTGGACCGAGCACCATCAGTCTGTCAGAGGCCAAGAAATAACCCTCCCCTCCTCAGGGACTTCGCGCGCGATGTAATGACACACGTTGGGACTGAAGTTACGAAGTTAAAGGAGGGCGCATAGAAATTATGCGCAGGATCCATTGAGGGCGCCAAAGTAGTGGCCGCGGTAGAGAGTGAAGGGCGTCCCCGCAAAGAGTCTGTCAAGCTCAAGTTTCCTAACTCTTATGGCAGGAAAAAGGACGAGAACTTTGATAACTGGGAGGCCAATATCAACACATACGTATATTTGCAACACATGGTGTCAGAGGAACAAGTCCTCGTGGCCTTCCATGCGCTTAAAGATGAAGCAGCCAGTTTTGTCAGGTCCTGCGCGCAGCCGATTGTGAACACAATATGGTTGCGTATTCTAAACTTACCCCTCTTCACACCTTCCTCAAACTCCCGAGAGAGAGGTTCGCTGACGTCACACGAGGCATCAGGGCCTCTGACAAATTGCAGACAATCCACTCACAACAGTGGAAGAGTGCGAGAGCACTCAAAGCAGTTATGGATGATCTGATAGCCATCCCAGACCACGGGGTCACTGAGACCCGATTAGTTAACCTGTTTTATTGTGCCATGCCAGAGCCCTTACGAGGGCACTTCTTTGAGAAGACCCAACAAGCCACTACTATGTATGACGCGTTGACTAGAGAGGTGGTCCTGTTCGAGGCAAAATCCATGCCAGTTTCCACTTTCTGGCATAAGGATTTAGACAAGGGAAATAAGTGGAAGGGTCGTACCATCCCGGGTTAGGTCAGGGCCAAGGATCATCTGATCCTTACTTTAGATGAGGGTGGTACTGACGGAGTCCCCTACAGTCGGATCGAGTGGGGGCTGGAGAAGGAAGATAGGAATGTAGGCCAAGGGAGGACCTATGCTGTTGTCGCGGCGGGAGGGAGGCCGCAAGGTAGAGGAGGAGGCCAGGGCCAAGGGGGCCGGGCCATGAGTGGTCGAGGTCCGGGCCCACAGGGGGTGGTCGGCCAAAGGAACCGCCAAGAGGGAGGTAGGCGTCAAGGCCCCCTGCCGAATCGCTCGGGGCCCAGTCGATCACCACTGCGCCAGTGTGACTCACCATCGATCGATCGACTGATTGATTGATTGATTGATTGATTGATTGATTGATTGACGATTGATTGATTGATTGATTGGCGATTGATTGATGATTGATTGATTGATTGATTGATTAACGGTTGCTTAACGATTGATTACGATTGATTAACGATTGATTGATTTGTTGATTGGTAAGGTTGTCCTAATCAACCCTCCCCATTCACAATTTTAACCTAAAATGATAGTAAAATCAAAAAAAAAAAAATGTTTGGATTTTTTAATTTTGTTTTGCGCAAATCGGTTTCCGAATAAATCCGAATAGCAAATCCGTTATTTTTGAAAATTTCGCTTTGCGCATAATTCGATTTTTTTTTGAAATACAAAAACACGCATTAATTAGTAGTCGAAATATTCATTTTTCCTCTTCATTGTGATATGCGAATTTTTCCTTGCTTCGTTGCTCTAAAATTTTATTTTTTTTTGGAATTTTTTTGCGCTGATTCATTTTTTTTAAATCGTGCATGATGAAATCACACTTCTGATTATTCAACTTGTCATGTATGCAAACAGCGAAACAGCAACTGGCGACATGCGCCCACACAATACTCAAGATATCGTAACCAGATACGAGTTCTCTTCAACTGGCTATGGCGACTGGGCGCCCACACAACTCACTGTTCGCACTCTGGATCACCCTGGATGTCCCACACGCAACACTCAGTATCATACTTCACACACATACATGCTAGGCTACAGCTATGGCAGGGCTAGCTGCCACTACCTATCGCTGCACTCCCCTCCTCTGCCCACTTCGTCTTCGGGCACTCTGCAGACCTCCTCGCACAAGCTGCTAGGCAGCGCTTCCGCATGGCATCCGCAGGAATGAATGTATGAATGGACGCAGCCTCTTTATTTATACTTCTGTGCTGCATTGGTCTGCCTTGTGTCCCTGGCCCATGGTGCACACAGTTCCCCCGTTGGTACTTGCTGGACCGGACTGGTACTTTCTGGACTCTCTCCAACATGGGCTTGCTTTAGTCACACCACTTGCCCACTTGCCTGCACCACTTGACCACTTGCCTGCACCACTTGCCCACTTGCCTACACCACTTGACCACTTGCCTGCACCACTTGA